ACGGTGCAATCTCGCAGAGGATCTTGCTTTCTTTGCTCTCTGGGGCAGAGCCAGGGTGAGCCCAGGGAGGGGAATCTGATGTGGGGGGTCACGCTCTGGTGCCATCTGAGGGAACACCCAAACCCTCCCCGGGGGCTGGAGGCATAATTTCCTGTGTCAAAATTTCCTGAGCTCCCCTAGAAAGACATTTTTGCTGCAGTGCTGAGCCTGCCGTGCGTGGAAAAAGCATTTGTAAGGGTGACATCCTGTAGCCCTGGAGCGGTGGGATTTTAGCTGGGAGACCGATCTTCACCCCCAAAATCAGTGGGGAGGGCTGGCTGAACCCAAACACGGCAGCTGAGCTCTTCTGCGTGGAATAAACCCTCAAAACCATCCCCAGGAATCCCAGTGATGAAGCTCTTGGCCACGGCATCCTCAGGAGATTTAAAGAATGGGAGAATGGGTGAGGTACAGACGCGCTCCCGGCTGGGACACGGCGGTGCCACGCACCCACCGCCACTGCCACCCCAGGGGTGACAAACCAGGGTCAGCGTTTTGGGTTCGCTCCCCGTGGTGGTGGTGAGGGAGGGGCTGCATTGCACCCCTTGCTGTGGAGAAGGTCTCGGGGACCCCCGGCACCCCCCCACAGCTCTGCCACCCCTGATGCCGTACCCGCTGTCACCCCAGAGTGTCCCCAAGGAGGACCGTGTCCCGTGCCCGCGTGGCAGGTGATGCCACCCGCGGAGCCGTGCGTGCCTGCGGCACCAGCGCTGCTCTGACCAGTCGTGGCACGAGCAGGAGATGCAGATGCTGCCCCCAAAAAAAACCTGCATGTTTCAGTGCTGCTGCCCCAAAACTGCGTGTTTTGGCGCTGCTGCCCTCCACGGACCCCCGGTGTGGGTGAACCGGCCCATCGCCCCTCTCAGCCCGTGGGGAAAGGGGAGACACGGGGTCCCCAGGGTCAAGCACAAGGTCAGGGGAATGGTCCCCGAGTGCCCAACCTCTGCCCATCACGTTCAACTAATGACTTGCAACGACTTCCCCCCTCCAAAACCCCAGTCCTGTGGGACCACCTGGGTGAGCAGAAATGACCGGAGCAATCTCTGCCCCGGGTGCGGGCGCAGCCTCAGCGCCGGGACGGGCATGGCCACCAACGGCCGAGGGTGCCGCAGCTTTCTGAAAGGCTTTATCGGGGCTATGGGCACCTGCACGATCATCTCGAGGCGTTCCAAGGAGATGATCCTTTTGGGAGCTGAAGGTTTCAATGTCTACAAGGAGCTGGGTCCGAAATCCTGTTGGCTTTGCCAGCGCTGAGTTCCCGTTTCATGACACGTGGCTCCAACCACGGAAGCCACAGTTGTGTCCACACCAAATGGCCTTCAGGATCTTCCACATCAGAGTATGTTGGAAGCCCACCGGGACCCATCACACCAGAGCCCCCATCTGTGCAGGGTTTCTGTACCAACACAGCAGTCAGGCCGTGCCGGAGAGGTGAGGGTGGATGCAGCCCCCGTGGAAAAGCCAGTGTGACCTTTGGGTAGGTGGGTGAGGACCCAGCAGCATCTTTTCTTGCTGGATTGACCTCTTCCAGCCCACGGCTATGTGGTCTGGGTGGCTTCCCATTCCTGGGCTTGGTGGTGGGATCTTGTCTCAATATCAGCCTGGCTCCACAGACTAGTTATCTCCCATACATCCATGTCAACGTACGTATCTACCACCATCCCCACATTCCCATGTCACTTTCATCCATCCCTCCCTTCCTCCATCCATCCATCCATCCATCCATCCATCCATCCATCCATCCATCCATCCATCCATCCATCCATCCATCTATCCATCCCTCCCTTCATCCATCCCTCCCTCCCTCCATCCATCCACCCATCATCGATGGACCAGTTGACAAAACCACCTTAAAAAGGGGAGACCGAGAGGGGTGAGACAAATAACCTGCTGAAGCCCACTGGCTTGTGTAGACTCAGTTTATTCCCATCCACCATGTCCCTGAACCAAAAGAAATTAGAAAAAAAAAAAACAAAAACAAAAACAAATAAAACAAAAAAGCTGAAGAAGCAGGAGCGGGGGATCATCCTGGGACAGGCAGGCTCTGAATCTCCTTAGCCCCCCAACCCAAAACACAGCCCCATTCCTCCCTTCTTTGTTTCGGGGGCCACACTGGAAAGCTGAGGAGACGAAATCCGGGCAGGACAAGGAGCTGTGCCCATGGGAAGAGCAGGTGGGAGAGGTTAGGAGGAAATGATCCAGCACTTTGAAGTCTGGTCAACTTTTAACATCCCGGCAAGCTGCGCCCGTGGCCACGCTCCGAGGCCCGGGGCCTGATTTTCCACATTCTGCCCTTTGATGCTGGAAGCCGATGTGTTATAGATTAACGAGATGGGGAAAGGGGGACACGGACACACACACACACACACACACACACACACGCACCGCACCTGCCGGCAGCGTGCCGGATTCGGCCCCCGCCCGGCATCCCCGGAGCTGACCCTCTCCCCCCAACCCCAAAACCAGTTTTTGGTGCCTGTCCTGCCCCCTCCCTCCCTCTCCTTCCTTCCTCTTTCGTTTAGTCCTCGGGAAATCCTCGCTCGTGTATTTTAACAAGCGTCAGACCCCCGTTTTTCCCCACCAGCACCCCCCTGCCCAGCCCTGCCTGCCCGCCGCCGCTGCCGGCCACGTCCCTCCGCTGCGCTGGCACGCTCTGCGGCTCTTTCGTTAAAAAAGAAAATGTCTTTCTCCTCCACCCAGAGCTCCTCCTGGCCAGAAATCCAGCGGGAAGGCAGGCTGCTCCCGAATCACCTCCTCCCCGGGGTGCAGGGGCGAAAGTTATTCTCTTAATAAGCTGGGGACACCCGCCTGGGGGATCTGTGTTTTATTCCCGTGGGGGATAAAGATCCTGCTTATTTATCCTGGAGGTGGGAGCAGGCCTGGGAGCAGCAGGGGGGGAAAAATGTAAAGATAAATTTGTGTTTTTTTCACCCAGTTTTGGTGTAGCAGCTCCCGGGTTCCCAGTAAGCCCCAGCTCCCTTCAGAGCATCCAGGGAACCTTGACTGGACACCGAGCCGGGACTGAAAACCACCGGGGAGAATAGGTAACAAATAATAATAAATACGTCAGATAAAGGCTAATCATTTTCCAAGATTTAGCTCCCAAATCAAAGCAGGTTCCCCCCAAAAAAATGGTTCCTGAAGAGACGGGGTGCGGAGGGGGGATGCTGCCGCCGGGATTCCCGCGGGGAGCAGCCAGAGCCCGGCCGTTTTTTTTTTTTTTCTTTTTTTCCCCCCGCAGAAGATGCTCAAAGCCGGCGAGATCCGCACCGAAACGAAATCCCGGCCCCGCGCAGCGCTCCGCGGCTCCCGGGCTCGACGGGCGGCGGCGGGAGAGCAGCGGCGGAAGGTCCGCACCCGCGGCCCGGCCGGGGTGGGGGGGAGGGAAAAAAAAAAAAAAAAAAAAAAAAGCAGTGAAATTCTGTTCAATTGATTTAAATTAAATTCCACAAATGGTCCGGAGCCGGGCACAGCTCCCGCGGCCGAGCTGAGCACTGTCTCCGCATCCTCCTTTTCCCCTTCCCCTTCCTTTTTCCTTTCCCCATCCCTCCGCGGGTGCGCACCGCTCCGCGCCCGGGTGCCCTCTCCACCAGCCAGCTAACCCAGCTCCGCGTCTTTATTTCCTTATTTTTATATATATATATATAAATATATTTAAACTGTAGATTTTTCTTTTTCCTCTCCCTCTTTCGGAAATAAAAATAAAAATAAAAGCGCTTTGGCGACGCGCTCACTCCATTTTTAGGCTTGCATGTCTCTGGGGTTTCATGTATTTTTTTTTTTTTTCCGCCCCCCCCCCCCCTTCTTCCCCGCAGCCTTTTGCGGGAGTGTGTCCGCGGAAAGCCCGCGGGCGCGCAGCAGCGCTCTCCTCACCGCGGGGGGAAGGATCCGCGGGTGCCCGAGCGGTGTATTTCAATCCAGCCAAGTGGAAAATAGACTTTCAACCCCTTTTGTGCGGGAGGGGAGGGCTGGCCCCCGCCTCCGCGGGCCAACAAAACTCAGAGCAGAGCCAAACTGCGGAGTGAACTCAGGACCGGCCCGCGTAGGGGCTACGCACCCCGCGCATCCCCCCGCGCCGGGGAACAACCAGGAGTTAGTGTGGGGGGGGGGCGGGTGCTGGTTGAAATTTTTTGTTTGGATTCCCAGCGCAGGATCGGACCCGTGGGAAGAGCGCGCTTTTGTCCGGGGGGGGGGGGGGGGGAAAGGTCCTGAGTTTGGAGGGGGGTCGGTTACGCGGAGGGGCGCGGAGCTTGCGCGGGAGGCGGGGAGCCGCGGTGGGGCGCGGGGGGAGGGTTTCACTTCCCCCCCCCCCCCCCCCCCCGGCCGGCAGCTCCCCGAGCCGCCGAGTTACAAACCGCCGCTGCGGATGTTGTATTTTTATTTATTTATTTAAAAAGCGAAAAAAAAAAAAAAAAAAAGGCAGAGGGGGGAAAAAGGGGAGGGGGGGGGCGGAAGGATTTTTTTTTTTTTAATTTTTTTTTTTTTTTTTTTAAAGAAGAAGGAAAAACCACCCCGCAGCCGGAGCCCCTCTCCCACAACTTCGCGGCGCGCCGGCGGGAGCGGCTCCAGTCCAGTTTTTCGGGCGCTCTCTGCCTTCCCCAGCCCCCCCAGCCCCCTTAACCCCCCCCCCCCAGCCCCCCCTTTGTGTCCCCCCCCCCCCCCCAACCCCGGCCCCAGCAAGGTGAGGCCGCCCCCTCCTCCGGGCCCCGCCAGGTACCGGCCGTATTTGTACCGGCTGCCGGGGCTCTGCGGGCTGCGTGGGCGCCCGCGGGTGGGCGGTGGGGCGGGTGTGTGTGTGTGTGTGTGCGCTGCCCAGGGGGAGGTTTCTTGCACACGCACACACACACACACACACACACACACACCGGGAAGGAACAGCCCCGCTCCGGGTCTCCCCCCCCCCCCCCCCCCCCCCCCTCCCTTTTCCCTTCCCCTCCCTCCCTTTCCCCCCGGCTCACACCATGTTCCAGCCGTCTGCGAAGCGCTGCTTCACCATCGAGTCTCTGGTGGGCAAGGACACCCACCTCAGCCCCGAGGAGCCCCCGCGGCCCCCCGCCCTCGGTTACCCCGGACCCGCCGCCGACGCCGCCGCCGCCGCCGCCTTCGCCCCCGGCTTCCAGGGCGCTGCCGCCGCCGGCCGGGCCCTCTACGGCAGCGCCGAGCTCGTTTTCCCCGAAACCGTGGGGCACCCGGCGCTCCCCGTCGGGCCCCACCAACTGGGGGGGTCGGCCTTACCGCACCCCCATTCCTTCTTCGGGCCTCAGCACCGCGACCCGCTCAACTTCTACCCCTGGGTGCTGCGGAACCGTTTCTTCGGGCACCGCTTCCAAGGTGAGAGGCGGGCACCGCCGGCCGGCTCCTGCTTCTCCCCCCTTCCCCCCCCCCTCCCTTCCCCTTCCCCGCCGGGGGCGCGGAAAAGGCGCGGAGAGGGCGCGGAGTGAGGGCTGGACGCTGGCCTGGGGAGCGCCGGGCGGCTCAGCGGGGCCCGTTAACCGGGGAGGCCGGGGGAGACCCGGAGGCAAAACCTGTTGCTGCGGTGGCTGCAGGCACAGCCGGTGCTCCGGGAGCTTGCACCCCCGGTGCTCAGTGCCTTTGCACCCCCGGTGCTCAGTGCCTTTGCACCCCCGGTGCTCAGTGCGTTTGCACGCCCGGGGCGTTTGCACCCCCGGTGCTCAGTGCGTTTGCACGCCCGAGGCGTTTGCACACCCGGTGTCGGGGCGTTTGCACACCACTCCCGGTGCTCAGTGCGTTTACACGCCCGGTGCTCGGTGCACTTGCACCCCCGGTGCTCGGTGCACTTGCACCCCCGGTGCTCAGTGCATTTACACGCCCGGTGCTCGGTGCACTTGCACCCCCGGTGCTCGGTGCACTTGCACCCCCGGTGCTCAGTGCATTTACACGCCCGGTGCTCAGTGCACTTGTACCCCCGGTGCTCAGTGCATTTACACGCCCGGTGCTCAGTGCACTTGTAGCCCCGGTGCTCAGTGCATTTACACGCCCGGTGCTCAGTCCACTTGCACCCCCGGTGCGTTCCCGGCCTGGGGGGAACCGGGGCAGCCCCGGGGCTGGGGCCGGGGCCCGGCCGGGCATCGTGGGGCTCCCGGGGACGGGACCGGCGCTGCCGCCTCCCTGCGCGGCCCCGCGGCTGCCGGAGTTTGGGTTTCTCCTCGGAACGAAGAGAAAGATTGCGATGGATCTCGGCTGCACAGCGAGATTTTGTTCGATTTTATACATTTTCTCTCGATTCCTTCGCTGTCTTAATTTCTTTTCTTTTCTTTTTTTTCTATTTCTCTCTTCTCTTCTCTTCTCTTCTCTTCTCTTCTCTTCTCTTCTCTTCTCTTCTCTTCTCTTCTCTTCTCTTCTCTTCTCTTCTCTTCTCTTCTCTTCTCTTCTCTTCTCTTCTCTTCTCTTCTCTTCTCTTCTCTTCTCTTCTCTTCTCTTCTCTTCTCTTCTCTTCTCTTCTCTTCTCTTCTCTTCTCTTCTCTCTCTCCTTCTTTTGCTAACTCTGTCTGTATTTATTTCCTTTATCCTTCTTTTCTTTCTGTCTTTTTCAGTCTCTCCCTTTCTTATTTTCCTCCTTCTTTTCCTTTATCTGTCTGTGCCTTTCCTTTCCTTTCCTTTCCTTTCCTTTCCTTTCCTTTCCTTTCCTTTCCTTTCCTTTCCTTTCCTTTCCTTTCCTTTCCTTTCCTTTCCTTTCCTTTCCTTTCCTTTCCTTTCCTTTCCTTTCCTTTCCTTTCCTTTCCTTTCCTTTCCTTTCCTTTCCTTTCCTTTCCTTTCCTTTCCTTTCCTTTCCTTTCCTTTCCTTTCCTTTCCTTTCCTTTCCTTTCCTTTCCTTTCCTTTCCTTTCCTTTCCTTTCCTTTCCTTTCCTTTCCTTTCCTTTCCTTTCCTTTCCTTTCCTTTCCTTTCCTTTCCTTTCCTTTCCTTTCCTTTCCTTTCCTTTCCTTTCCTTTCCTTTCCTTTCCTTTCCTTTCCTTTCCTTCTTTCCTTTTCCTCCTCCCTTTACTTTTCCTTTTCCTCCCCCCTTTCCCGTTTCTTTCCCGTGTGTTTCCCGCCTCTTTCCCGTTCCCTCCCCGTCCCCGCTGTCCCCGCCGCGCTGCCCGGGGCCCGGCGGAGCCCCGATGAGGTTTATCTGCCCGGTCCCACCCGCTGGCTCCGGGCTCCGCCGGGGATCGCGGCCGCTGCCGGCGCCGCCCGGGGACCCCGCGGGGACACGGCCCCGCTCCTGCCGGCTCCCTGCCCGTTCCTGCCCGCTCCCGTTCCCTGCCCGGAGCGGCTCGGGGGCTGCCGGCGCTCCCCGGTGCTGGCCGGGGCCCGGAGCCGCAGCCAGCCCGGCCCTGCCGCCGGTGCCTCCTCCCCGGCCTGCTTCATCACCTTTGCTGCCTGTTTTCTTTTTCCTGTCTTTCGTTTCTTTCTACCTTTTCCTTCTTTCTTTTCTTTCATTTATTTCTTTCCTTCCTTTCTTCTTTCTTTCTTTCATTTCTTTCTTCCCTTCCTTCTTTTCTTTCCTTCCTTCTTTCTTTCCCTCTTTCTTTCTTTCTTTCCCTCTTTCTTTCTTTCTTTCCCTCTTTCTTTCTTTCTTTCCTTCCCTCTTTCTTTCTTTCTTTCCCTCTTTCTTTCTTTCCCTCTTTCTTTCTTTCCCTCTTTCTTTCTTTCCCTCTTTCTTTCTTTCCCTCTTTCTTTCTTTCCCTCTTTCTTTCTTTCCCTCTTTCTTTCTTTCCCTCTTTCTTTCTTTCCCTCTTCCTTTCTTTCCCTCTTCCTTTCTTTCCCTCTTCCTTTCTTTCCCTCTTCCTTTCTTTCCCTCTTTCTTTCTTTCCCTCTTCCTTTCCCTCTTCCTTCCTTCATTTCCTCCTTCCTTCCTTCCTTCCTTCCTTCCTTCCTTCCTTCCTTCCTTCCTTCCTTCCTTCCTTCCTTCCTTCCTTCCTTCCTTCCTTCCTTCCTTCCTTCCTTCCTTCCTTCCTTCCTTCCTTCCTTCCTTCCTTCCTTCCTTCCTTCCTTCCTTCCTTCCTTCCTTCCTTCCTTCCTTCCTTCCTTCCTTCCTTCCTTCCTTCCTTCCTTCCTTCCTTCCTTCCTTCCTTCCTTCCTTCCTTCCTTCCTTCCTTCCTTCCTTCCTTCCTTCCTTCCTTCCTTCCTTCCTTCCTTCCTTCCTTCCTTCCTTCCTTCCTTCCTTCCTTCCTTCCTTCCTTCCTTCCTTCCTTCCTTCCTTCCTTCCTTCCTTCCTTCCTTCCTTCCTTCCTTCCTTCCTTCCTTCCTTCCTTCCTTCCTTCCTTCCTTCCTTCCTTCCTTCCTTCCTTCCTTCCTTCCTTCCTTCCTTCCTTCCTTCCTTCCTTCCTTCCTTCCTTCCTTCCTTCCTTCCTTCCTTCCTTCCTTCCTTCCTTCCTTCCTTCCTTCCTTCCTTCTCTTTACTTCTTTATTTTTCTTTCTTGCTTTCCCACTTTTGTTCTCTCTTTCCTTCTCCCTTTCACTCTTTTCCTTCTAGTCCTTCTTTCTGTCTTATTTTTCTTGTTCTTTCTCACTTCCCCCTTTCTGTCTTCTGACACTTTCTTAGGCTTTCTCCTCTGCTTTATCTTCTTTTTCTCCCTTTCTCTCTGTTTTTCCTCTGCCTCCCCCCTCTCGCTCTCTTTCTTTCCTCTTCCTCCAGCTCCCCCCCATCCATCCCTTCTCCCTCCTCCTCTTTCTCTCTCCGTTCCCTTCCCCTCCCGTGTCCAGCCCCACCACAGCACCCAGGCCAGCAGGCGAGGGAGCCCGGCCGCAACACCGCGGCGGTGATCAATGCCGCAACCTTGGCCCCGGGGAACGTGCCCAGGGCCCCCCAACACCCCCTCTCCTTCCCTCCCCGTGTCACGGGGCGAGACGCTCTCCCCAACATCCCCCCCCCCCCCAGTTTTTCCCCAGGAGGTGCCGGCCCTGACTCCGCTCTCTGTCCGCAGGGAGCGAGGTGTCTCAGGAGAGCCTGCTCCTCCACGGCCCCTTCGCCCGCAAGCCCAAGCGCATCCGCACCGCCTTCTCGCCGTCGCAGCTCCTGCGCCTGGAGCGGGCCTTCGAGAAGAACCACTACGTGGTGGGCGCCGAGCGCAAGCAACTGGCCAGCAGCCTCAGCCTCTCCGAGACCCAGGTACCCACCCGCCGGCCGGCTGGCCGGCTGTCTGTCTGGCCGGCCGGCTGTCCGGCCGCCGGTGGGAGCCGCTCGGCATCGGGCCGCAGAGACGGCGTCGGACCCGCGCAGGGCTGGGGGCTGCGCTCTGCGAAATCCCACCTGGGTTTCTCCGGGAATCCCGCGTGGAAACCGTGGCGGGTTCATTTGGGGGGGCGGGTGTGTGTATGTTGTTTTTTTTTTTTTTTTCTTGTTTTCTTGTTTTTTGGTTTTTTTTTTTTTTTTTGGTTTTGCCGCAGCGTTCGGTTGTTACAGTCGTCCCCGGCAGGGCTGGAGGCTGGGAATGCCGGTCTCGCCTCATGCCACCCTCCAGAGAGGTTTTCCAGTGTTATTTCTTGCTTGCTTGGGGTGTTTTCCCTGAGAGCAATAGATGGTTTTAAAAATCCAGTTAAAAAAGCAGCAGCAGCATGAGACCCTTCCCCGGAGAGCTGCAGAAAGGCCCCTCGGTCGTGCAGCTCTGGTTCTGCACACAAACCCTGCGGTGCCCCGGAGCCAGGATGGGTGCCTGCCCACGGGCATTTACTTCAGCTGCAACTTTCTGATTTTTAAAAAAGACGTTTCACAGGCGTTTTAGATAGAATGAGACCCAGGTGATCCAGAGGGATGAGAGGAAATACTGGGAAAGCGTTTGGTGCAGGGGGAAAAACGGAGGAGTCAGGGCTGAGCATCTCTGTGCGTGTCCAAGCCTGGTGTCCTGGCAAGCAGCTTTTCCCAAATGCTCCGGGTGAAGGTACACTATTTCCCATAATATTCAATAACTGAATCAATGGAGAAAGTTTTCTCCAAATATTGGCTAGGTAGCACAGCCTATATTCTTAATTAATTTAATTTTTATCCTTTAATTTAATTGGAAAATAAAGCTGGAGCTGTGAGTGTTCCCGGCACCCGCCTGGCTCATCCTTGCCCAGGCTCTGCCAAACAAAACCTCCAAATGCATCTCATGAGAGGGAAGTTACCGGGAGGAAAATGTCATGGGGACAGTGGGAAACTGCATGTGTGGGTACCGGGGCGGGGGGGATGGACTGAGCCCACAAACTCCAGAGGTTGTTTATATCCTGATGCTGATGCTATCCCGACCCCCCCAGCCTCATGGCTCGCAGGGCATGGCGTGGCATCCCAGCTCAGGTCCTCTCCTTGCTGCTTCTGTCACCAATCCGGGCTGAAAATTATGTTAAAGGAAAAAAAAAAAAAAAAAAAAAAAAAAAAAACCAGAAAACCAACAACCCTGAAAGGTCAAAGAACAAGCAGCAACTTCCCGAGGCGGAAAGGGCAGCTGCGGGATGCCCGAGGGGGAGCTCAGCGTGCCCCTCGGATTTTGTATCTTTTCCCCGAGCCTAAATGCAGTTTATTGGGGAAAAAGCAGAGGCATCCATCCCTAAATCCGGGTGATTTAGAAATAGAAAGAGGCAATATAGATTTTTAATTTTTTTATTATTATTATTGTTATTTTGCTTATTTTTTGAAATGCACCGCAGCGTATTTTGTAGTACGGTCTTTTCCACATTTTCGGAAAGCCGCTGCAGCCGCTCGGCTCGGCGCGGGGTGATTCATCACCTGCGGGCAGGGAGCGAGGGGAGGGGGGGGGTCAGGGCGAGAGGCGTTTGTGGGGCCGGGCCCCCCCCCCACAAAGGGCGTCGGGGCCGGGGGCGGCGGCGAGTGTCGGCAAAACATCCCCCAGGCAGCAGCAGCAGTGGGCAGGGGGGCCCGCGGGGCGGCAGGGGAGACTTATTCCCTTTCGGCTTTGCGGCTTTAGAAAAATGATCTTTTACCAAAAAAAATCTTTTAATTACCTGGAGGGAAATGACACTAAAGTGCAGGGGGATGTGATAGGGGATGGGCATTGAAGTACTGGGACTGGCAGGGTGAGAGAGCCAGCCTGGCTGGCGGCTGTGCCAAAAGCAGGCATTATTTTTTTCCTATTATTATTATGATCGTTATTATTATCATTATTAATCCAGTGATGAACCCTACACTCATGCAAATCTCCCATGGAATACTACCCCCCATCCTCAGCGACACCCATCCCCGGTGTGACACCGGGTGACACCAGCGTGTTTTCACCCATCCCCACATCCCCAAACCCTCCCCCGGTGGGTGTGTTTGATTATTTTCCCGTGGGTTTAGCCGCTCCGAGAAGGGGCTGCTGGTTTTGGCTGTGCCTGACCCTATTTCCTAGCTGCTTTTCCTCCTGGAAAAGGGAGCTTTGCCCTTTGGGCTGTGCCCGCTCAGGATCTGACCCCCCTGGCTGAGGAGCAACACCTGGAGCAGCCCAGGGGGAAGGTGAAAAGGGTACAGGGACCTGCCTAGCATCAGGAAATGCCTTGGGATATAGGGTGGGGAAGGGTGGAGGTGTTTAACCCCTTCCCATCCTTTTTCCTACCAAGGAGCTGCGTTAGTCTGGGATAAAACAGGCCCATGCACCACCACCACCAAAAAAAAAAAAAAAAAAAAAAAAAAAAAAAAGAATGGGAGAAAATCCAGCAGCAGCACAGGGTCCCAAAGCAAACGCAAGTGTTGAGTAAGTGGGATAAGGCTGGAGGACGTGGAGGGAGGGCTCGGCGGGGGGGTGGGGGGGTGACTGGTGCAAGAGGAGCTGTTGGCGGGGTTTGGGAGGGGGACACGGTGGGTGAGAGCCGGGTGGCATGAGGGGGGTGCCCGGGGGTTGGGGGGGGCAGCCAGGGAGGAGGTGGGGGTACCCCGCTGCGCCCCGTGGTCGTGCCGGGCTGGGTGACACAGGTGGTCACACCGCTGTGCCCATCGCCGGTGGCGTCAGGTCGCTTCAGCTCCCGGGCAGGGGATGGGGGGAGCACGCTGGGCTGGGAAATACTTTCCCTGAGTTAATTTTGCACGGGGCAGCCTGGCCGTCCGGGCTGAGCCTCCGCATCTCTGACAGCACGTGGTGTAAACCCCACTCCGGGCAGGGTGGGAGTCTCAGATCTGCTGTCCCAAAGCAAAGGCCTCACCCTGGCTCCTGCCAGCACGAGCTTTGGGGTGATTATGGAGACACCATATAGCCCAGTTTTGGGGAGGTTATGGAGGTATCATATAGCCCAGTGTCCCCTCTGGGCTTTGGGGTTATTATGGAGGCACCGGATAGTCCAGCTTTGGGGTTATTATGGAGGCACCATAGAGTCCAGCATCCCCTCCCAGTTTTGGGGTGACTATGGAGGCACCATAGAGCCCAGTGTCGCTTCCTGGCTTTGGGGTGATTATGGAGGCACCGTATAGCTCAGTTTTGGGGTGATTATGGAGGTACCATAGAGCCCAGTGTCCTCTCTGGGCTTTGGGGTGATTATGGAGGCACCATAGAGCCCAGCTTTGGGGTTATTAGGGAGGCACCATAGAGTCCAGTGTCCCCTCCCAGTTTTGGGGTGATTATGGAGGCACCATATAGCCCAGTGTCCCCTCTGGGCTTTGGGATGATTATGGGAGCACCATATAGCCCAGTTTTGGGGTGATTATGGAGGCACCATACTACCCAGTGTCGCTTCCTGGCTTTGGGGTGATTATGGAGGCACCATAGAGCCCAGTTTTGGGGTCATTATGGAGGCACCATAGAGCCCAGCGTCCCCTCCCAGTTTTGGGGTGATTATGGAGGGACCGTATAGCCCAGCGTCCCCTCTGGGCGCCGTGTGTTCAGGGATGGGGGTGCAGCAGCCCTGGCCGGTGGGTCGGGGCAGGCCGGGCACCGCGGCCGCTCCGGCAGGAGCAGTAATAATTAACTGAGCAAATGCCTCGGACTCAGGGGAGGAGAAAGATGCACGTCCCAGATACAGGCAGAGAGCGGCTGCCCGGCAAAGGCCTGGCGGTGGTGCCCCCCCGAGGACCGTCCCCCAAAACAAGCTCTTCAAAGTTTTGGGGTGCTTTCAGAAGCAGAGCCCCAGCTGGGAGCGCAGGCCGGGTGCGGTGCTGATGCTCGGGGAGCTCCGCTGCCCGTCGGGGTGGTGGCACATGCGGGTGCCAGCGCGGCACAAGCGGTGGCACCGTGTCTGGCCCCGAGTGACGACGGGGCTGGTCCTTCCCGGTCACCATCCAGACTCTCTCAGCCTTCGGCAGGGTTTGGGTTGTCGGCCAGGGGAGCTGCACATGAAGCCATCAGATTTTAATCGTCCCCAGCTTGGTGATGGCAATGTCACCTTGGGGCTGGAGCTGATTCTCCGGGTGCTGCCGGCATCCCTGAGGCAGAGTGCGGTTCCTCCGTGGGGGGCTGTGTACAGGGGCAGGATCGGGATGCAGGAGCCCTCCAGGGACCGTCCCCCCACCCCAAAGTGGGAGCGTGGGGACCGTGGGGACCCTGGAGGGCAGGGCCAGCCCTGGCGGGGGGTGGCCGGGCAAGGACCGCAGCAGCATCACACCAGTCAGATGCACAAACCCCCGGCATGACAACAGTTAATACGGCGAAGGTTTGGGAAGGGATAAACCACCCCCCACCCCCATCTCCCCCCCCCCCCCCCCCCCCCCCCCCCCCCCCCCCCCGCCCCTTTCCGAGCATGGGGGTTTAAACCAATTACTCTCGGAGTCAGGATGAGGCATCGTAGGGGGCAGCTTATCCCCCAGTTGCCCACTGTGAGGTTCTCACACTTCCCTCATTGTGGCTTCTGGCCTGTTGGAGCGAGGGATGCGGTATCGGAGGGGTCAGGGAGCCCATCCAGCCTGGAAACATCCCCGTTCCCGCGGCCGAGACACTCGGGAATGGCGGGGGAGCCTCGTCCCCCAGGAGATGGCCGTACCCAGCCGGGTTTCTCCGAGCTGATCAGAGCTGGGGAGGAAAGGTTTTACGTGCGGGAGCCGCTTCACACCCACCCCGCATTTCCACAGAACCTCACTCAAGCATCTTAATTGCTTTATGCCTTAGTTTCCCCTTCTATGATTTAGGGATAAGGCAACTTCCCTGCTCCCAGAGGGCTGAGAGCTTTAATTAAAGTTTGCAAAGTGCTTTGCAGTCATTGAATGAAAGGCGCCAGCTCCGTATTGTTCCAGAATATGCCCCAAAGCTAGGAAAGCAAATGGTTTGAGTCCAGGGCGGGGGGGGGGGGATGAGAGGGGGGGTTATAATATATACGGGTGCCATAAAGCAGCTGTTTCAATAGACTAAGCATGCCTTAAAGTCAAGGGCTGGGACCGCGCTGGCTGCGTGGCACCCGGCGAGGGTTCTGCTCACCTGGGGAGCGCAGCGAGGTGCGAAAGGCTGGGGCGCAGGAAGGGAGTGATGCTGAAGGAGAAGGGAGGAAAGGGGTGATGGGCCCGGGGGGATGAGGAGTGGCAGCGGCTGCCGGGGGGGGCTCTGGCACTGCACCACCTGAAGTGGGGAAATGCTTCAGCCTGGCCCGTGCCGGGCTGGCGGCGGCCGGTGAGCAGCGGCATCCAGTGTACTGGGGGGCGTGGGAAGCCAAGTGGCATCCTGCATCCCGGGGGCAGCATCCTTCATCCTGGGGTGCAGCATCCTTCATCCTGGGGTGCAGCATCCTGTATCCCAGGGGTAGCATCCTGCATCCCGGGGGCAGCATCCTGCATCCTGGGGTGCAGCATCCTTCATCCTGGGGTGCAGCATCCTGTATCCCAGGGGTAGCATCCTGCATCCCCAGGGCACAGCATCCCGTATCCCAGGGACAGCATCCCACATTCCCAGGGCGCAGCATCCCGCATCCTGGGGTGCAGCATCCCACATCCCGGGGGCAGCATCCCGCAACCTGGGGTGCAGCATCCCACATCACGGGGGCAGCATCCCGCATCCTGGGGTGCAGCATCCCACATCCCGGGGGCAGCATCCCGCATCCCCAGGGACAGCATCCCGCATCCTGGGGTGCAGCATCCTGTATCCCAGGGGTAGCATCCTGCATCCCCAGGGTGCAGCATCCTGTATCCCAGGGGTAGCATCCTGCATCCCCAGGGCGCAGCATCCTGTATTCCAGGGACAGCATCCCACATTCCCAGGGCGCAGCATCCCACATCCCGGAGTGCAGAATCCCATGTCCCCAGTTGCAGCATCTCATGTCTCCGGGTGCAGCATCCCAAACCGCTGCCTGCAGCATCCTGCATCCCTGGGGGGAGCATCCCTCACTCCCAGCTGCACCATCCTGCAGCATCCCACATTCCGAGGTGCAGCATCCCATGTCCCTGGGGGCAGCATCCCCAGGTGAAACATCCCGAACCGCTGCCTGCAGCATCCCACGTTCCCCGGTTGCACCGTCCCGTAGCCCCGGCTGCACGTCATCCTGCATCCCCCCCATCTGTAATTGTCATTAGAATCTAGCTATAATTAGCTACCTGCTTCTGTAGGGTCCTAATGATGCTGCCCTGGCTGACTCACGGCACCCTCACACCAGCGACCAAACGAAACGGGGCCGGGTTTAGCTGCTCCCACCGTGCTGTGCCGGGCGGGGCGCAAGCCCAGACGCCAGGGTGATGGGCACCGGGGTCACGGTGCTCGTAAGGAGGGTCCCGTGTGCTGGCCGACCCCCGTGTCTGAGGTGTGATTGAGCGTCCTTCACCCGTCTTGGGTTTCTCCAAGGCTGGGATGTGCAGCAAGCGGAGCTGGGAGACAGCAGCACCCCACGTCCTGCGCCCCACCGCGTTTGTGTGCCCCCCCTTGCTGCGGGCAGAGGGGAAACCGAGGCAGGGCAAGGTGGCCGTGGAGGGGATTTTTTTTTTTCTTTTCTTCTCTTTTTTTTTTTTTTTTTCCCCGAGGCAAAATGAGCTTGCTGCCTGGCTGCAGCTCTGTGAGCGCCTGTGTCTCCCTCTCCCCCCCAGGTGAAAGTGTGGTTCCAGAACAGGCGGACGAAATACAAACGGCAGAAGCTGGAGGAGGAAGGACCCGACTCGGACCAGAAGAAGAAAGGCTCCCACCACATCAACCGATGGCGCCTCGCCACCAAGCAGTCGAGCGGAGAAGACATCGACGTCACCTCCAACGACTAAGGCAGGGACAGGCTCCTGGTGCAGCCACCATGGAGAGGAACCCGGGGGAGGAAGGGGGGACACAGGCGGCATCGCCAAACGAACTCTAAGGACGTCGCCGAAGCCACCGCCGCCGCCCGCTGCCTTTCCTCCGGGCCGCCCGGCCGTGACCGGGGGACCCGCACCCCGTCCCCCCCCGCCGCCCGGGGCGTCCCTCGGAGGTGCTTTTCGGGAAGCTCCCGCCGCCGAGCCGAGGAGGAAGAGGAGGCTGCCAGGGCACCCGCGGCCCCGGGCCGCGACCGCGCATCCTCCTCCGCGCTGGAAGCCGTCCGTCAGCCATGAGATCAAACCCAGTCGTCCTACCTAGAAGCTCAATGTACCCAACCCCTTTTCCATTTTTATTTTTATTTTTTGCTTTTCTTTTTGTTTCCCACCTCCCTCCTTTTCTCCATTGTTTTGGTTTGGTTTGTTGTTTTTTTTTTTTTTTTTTTTTTAATTTTTTTTTTTTTTTTTTACACAGTTTGATTTAATTTATTCTTTTATTTTGTGCCTGTGTGCGTGCGTTCCCTGTCGTAGGTAGTCAGCAGCTGTAGTGTGTGTTATTGCGTGGTAATAAAAAAGCAAAATGCGCTGGAAACCTGTCTGGTTGCCTCGGCAGAGGAGGGGGACAACGGGACCGTCCCCCTCTCCCCTCGCTGGTCGAACACCTGTGGGGCCACCAGTGTCCACTGGGAGGGGAGGATGGGTGTCACTGGGGAGGGATGGGTCCCGAGAGCCTGGTTACCCCATCGAGGTGGGTTTGGGGGCGGGATGAGGGGGGCTGTGAGGATGGGGGGGTCCCCTGGGGTCCCCCCCGGGGCAGCCGTGGGTCGGGGTGGTGTGTGGCGGTGGTGGGGATGGAATGTCGGGGGCATCCCCCGCCCGCTCCCCCGGGAACACCCCCCCCCCCCCCCCATGTGTACCCCCCCAGACACGGGGCACCCAGGGCTGGTGAGGGGACCCCCCTGTCCCCGGGCAGCCCAGGGCACCCCAGCAATGAGGGACTTAGTGGTGGTGGGGGGTGTCTTGGAGGATGAAGGTTGGGTGTCCTTCCCATGTCTCGCTGGGGTCTGGGGGAAAGGACATTTAAAAAAATTTCATATATATATTAAAAAATATTAAAGAAATCTATACACACAAATATATTAATGATATATAAGATATGCTATATATAGCCATATATACATGCACACAATATATGCACATACGTGTGTATATATATTGTATTTTATAATGCCTCTTTATATATATAGCAGATATATTTTACTAGTGTATATACACACCATATACACGTATATGTGTGTATTTAATATGTATATATATAGTATTTTATAATGCATTTTTTATACTATTATATTTTTGTAATATATACTTACATCTATATTTTATTATAGATCATAGATTATCACCATCTAGAATATCATGATAGATTATCACCATCTAGAATATCATGATATGATTAAGATATAATAATGATATTCTAGATGGTGATAATCTATTAGCTGCAATAAAATAGATAATGGTATCATATAATGATCTATAATATCATTATAATCGGTTGTAGATATTATATATAATATATGGTTATATATATAATTATATATCTATATTATATATAATTATATATAATATATAATTATATAACATATAATTATTGGATTATATGATATCATTATGTGATATATCATTATACACACACATAAATGGAAGAATTCCTGCTGCTGGGAAAGGCCCCTCCTCGCGTCCCCTCGTGCCACAGGAAAAGCCCCGTCCCCGTCCCCCCCCGGAGAAGCAGCTGGTAGGAAATGTCCCTTTTTCCGACGAAACCTTTAAATAATCCCGCCACCCGCCTCATCCTTCGCCCGCGCGGAGGCCCGACCACACCACCAGAGCTCTTTGAAATTCTATTTTTTTTTTTTTTTTTTTTTTTTATTCCAGACAGATCCGAGCGTTACACAAAGTGTCGCGGTCGGTGACGCTCTCGCGAAGGTTAAAAGGCGCCGGCGGGCGCCGGGTGCCCGGGGGGGGGGGGCATGGGGGGGGACGCCCGCCCAGGTGGGGACCACTGGAAGACGTGTCGGTGCTGGTGGGTGACCCCCTCCACCCCCCCCCCCCCCCCCCACGGAGGGACTCGCCGTTAACGCGGGTATAAGGTGCATTCCGGAGGGCGATGGCACGAGAAGGGGGAGCGGAGGACGTTGGGTGCAAAATCAGCCAGAGGGGGGAAAAAAAAAAAAAAAAAAAAAAAAAAAAAAGAGGGAAAACAGCAAAAAAAAAAAAAATAAAACCCAAAGTGGATGTTTCCTAAAGCGACCCGGGGTATCCCCCCACCACCGGGACCACCTCCGCTGCTTGGAACGCTCGCAGAGCCAGGCCAGCTGCCGGGGGGACCTTATTTGTCCCCTAAAAACCTTCCCCCAAAGGCTGTCGGGGTCCCGCCGGCAGCCCCCCGCGCGGCCCAAGGGCGTCCCAGGATCTCCGCCACGGCCCTTCGAGAGGAGCCCACCGAAACGGGGGGGGGGGGGGGGGCTGGGAGGGGGGAGGACGGGGAACACCCACATCTCTCGGCTACGCGGCGTCGGTACAACCCTGAGATCTACCAGCGCCGCTTGGCCCCGGGTCCGGCGGCCGGCGGGACGTTCAGGGCCACGGGCAGGGCCACGGGGCAGAAACACGAGCGACAAGAGAAAAACGGAAGGAGCTGAGCCGTGGCCAAGCCCCGGGACGTGGGTGACACAACCCTGGGGTTGTCCCCTGGTCATCCCCCCGCCCCCCGGCTCGGGGAGCGGCCGACAGACACATCTCCCATCAAAACTTCTCGCTGGCACCTTTTCCTGCAACCTGGTCCTCATTATTTCTTAATTAACATATCCAAGAAATCAATTAACTGCGACATTTCTAATTAAATACTACGGGAGATGATCATCTCATTATTATTATCTGCTGAGGTGAACAACTTGATGTGTGTGGTGGGTTTTTTCGCTCCCCATTTCTTCCACTTCCCCAATTATAGGAAATAAGAAATGCAAATGGTCGGGTTGTTCTCGCAAACCGAAGGCTCCTTTTTGTACATTAGGAAAGTCGAAGAGATTAATTAGCTATTAAGTGAATGTGCATAATGTTATCATTAGCTGTTGTGTGTAGTCTTTTCTGGCACAATTTGCTGTCCTAATAAACAGTACTAATGTGCTGCCGCTCCCCCAGCTCCGTGTTTCTCGTTCCTGACGCTGTGGGAAGAGTGGAGCGCGGTATTTTGGGGCTCACCACCCGTCCTTCCCCCCCCCCGTGACCCCCCCCGAGCCCGACCTCGAGCCGCCGGCGAGCGGAACGGACTTTGGAGCTCCAAAAGGGCCGGGTTTGTGTCTGCTGAGCCGTTCGTCCTGCTGCTTGGAAAGAAAAAGGCCCCTCAACGACCCCTGCGTCGGGATGGTGGCGGCTCGAAAGCCGAGCCGTGTCAGCGTCCCTGCGTGGGGACACCGGGCTCTCGTGTTCCCTGAGAGTTTTGGGGGGGGGGGGCACGGGGCCACCGAAACGTGCTCCTCCTGCCTACACCTCGTCCCGCTCGCCAGCCGGGAGGACGAGCCAGGGGACGGCGAGGGGAAGGGAAGCAGAGCCGGGTCTGCACCATCCCGCTTCCCTGATCAAAGGGGACACGCGTGTGGGGTTTGGGGTGCGGGGGGTGGGGGGGTGCGTGGGGGTGTGTGTATCAAGTCCTCAGGTCTCCAACCTCTCGGGCACCGCTGCTGCAGGCACCGGCACGCGACGCAAGACCTGCGGATGCTTTCCAAAGAGGGTTAAAAAAAAAAAAAGGACCTGCACCCTGTGAGGCGGTGGTTCTCCCTTCCCAGCCCCAAGCAGGAGCATCTTCCCAGGGGAGGCCGGGGGGGGGGGGGGGGGGGGGGGGGGGGGGGGAGGTGGGCACGACAATTTGTGTTGCGCTGGAACAAAATTGGAGAGCAGACGTTGTTGCCAACCTGCCAGAGGCTGTGATCGGCTCTTTGATCTAAACACCGGCGAACGCCTGACTCAGGACCCCGGGATGTATTTATTTCTCGGCACAAACTCTGCCGAGTTGACTGAAACCCATTTTCATGACACATAAAGAGAAACAAGTTTGACGGGGTTTGTATGGGAAGACGATAAATCCAGACTCATTTAGACCGTTTGATTGTCACTTGTTCGACTGTGCAGCTGCTTTTGAGCCAAGCCATAATCTCGCCGCGCGGCTCCTCTGACATCCCTCAAGCTGGTCCTCACCCCCTCGAGCAGGATCAGGCCCTTGTGATTCACAGGAGCTGTGTGGCTTAGTAAGCCCTAAGCCTGTTCCCCTCCAAACCAACGCCTCTCCTATCGAGCATCGCTGGGTTAACGTGATGAGCATCCCCCTGCTAATTAACAACCTGCGCAGCCGAAACTCTGCAGGTGATGTGTGCGCCGGGAAAGCATCCACACTCGCTTCCCATCACGGGGAAAATTGGGAATTGGCTCTTTCTCCAGGCAGAACTTGCTCAGCCCGTGCTTTTCCTTGGGTGTCTCCTAAAGAAACGCGGCAAGCACAGCCCTGACTCCTTTCCTCCGCTGCAAATTCCTCGCTCCCTCTGTGGGCCCGGCAGGTAGCTGGATCTGAAACCTTTGATCAGTGATCACGATGCCAAACCAAATCACCGTCTCCCTCCTTGCTCCACCTCTCCGAAACCTCAAGGCAAATTGCAGCCTCCATCTCTCCTCCCGTCCCCAAACCCCCCCCCACCCCCAAAAAAAAAAAAAACCAAACTGGGATGAACAAGCTTTGCAGCAGAATGGTTCAGGCAGCGACAAAACCCACCGGGGAAGGGGAAATGATCCACCCAGACAGACGCCGGAGCCAGGAGGCTTCTCACTGTCAACACAAGAGGCTGTTTCTGTCTCAGCCTCGCATTTCCATTCGGGAGGAAGAAGAAGGCAAGTTGTGCCTCCGTGCAACGCGGCGCGGCTTGGCTCCTCACTTCCGCGGGCTCAGCCGAGCCGTCAAGAGAAGCTTTAGGCTCAGGGTAGGTTTTTCCCTGCTTGCACGCACGTGCGGGTGCGTGTGCGAGGGGCTGCCCGCACCCCCCGGCACCCGACAGCGGCCCCCGCCTCCTCCCACACCCCGCAGCAGCGGAAAGGGCCCTTTTTGGGCTCACAGCTCCCTCCCAGCGCGAAACACGGGGCCCGAAGCTGTGCTGCCGCAGGACAGACACCCGTGAAAATGTCCACAGGACAGATGTCACCTCCCTGCAGCCCCTCCGAATCTCACCCGGGGCGGATGGGGCGGCCTCGCTTCCTCCGGAGTGTACATTCATCTCATCTAGTGCATTAGAGGAACTCAACTGGGTCAAATCCAGCTGCCCCTGACCCTGGTGTAAATCCAGAATAGCTCCATGAGTGCAACTGGACCCACTCTGCGTTTCCACCAGTGTCAGGGTCTGGGAGTTGGCCCATCAACAGCAGCTGTGGAGAGCCCGGAGCCGGCCTCTCCTCCCCTGCACGCCGCTGTGTAAACCCACAAAATTGATTTGTTTTGTGCAATTATTCCTGATTTACACCGGCGTGGGGACAGAATCAGTCTTCCTGAGCTGGCCTGACCGTTGCGGCACTCCAATTCCTACTGGTCTGGCTCCATCAGGGAGCAGGAGCAGCCAGTGGTGAAGGAGCAGTCGGCAGGGCTCAGGGCTCCCCATTTCAGGCATAGCAATAAACCCTTCGAATACATTCTGCGTCAGTGGCGATTTGGTTTCCCCTGCTCCCCCCACCCTCCCCAAAACCCCCTGCAAATTGGCATTTGAAGGATGACAGCCTGTGCCTTCGGTCATGCCCATCGCCACCGCAGCTCCATCCCGACAAGGATCCCAGAGGCTGAGCTCGCTATCAGCACGGTCTTCTGCTGGTGACCATGTTCAAAATCTGCATTAACTCCCCTGGTCCTCAGGGACTCACTTGGGGTTTAACTCTTGGGTACGAGACACCAGAAAGCCAAATTATGGCCTCAAACCCACGTGAGGGCAGGATTCGGTGCGGTGCTGGGGGGACTTGCCCCACCTCACTTTAAGCACCCCAAAGTGGAGCAGTTGAAGGCACCCCAGCCATCTCCAGCGGGCACTTCACCCCTCCGAGGCTGCGGTGCCACGAAGCCATCAGCTTGGCCAGGAGAAGCCGTCCTGCCCAACGGTTTCTGCTTTGGGCCCTGCTCTGCATCAGCACAAGGCTTTGGGCAGCGCTGGTTTTGCTGGCTGAAAGCACTGGTAAAAATAGAGAAGAGGAAGAGGAAGAAGTAGGAGAGGAAGAAGAAGAAGAGGGAGAGGAAGAAGAGAAGGAAGAAGAAAGAAGAGGAAGAAGAGGAAGGTGAAGAAAGAAGAGGAAGTAGAAGAAGAGGAAGAAGAAGAAGAAGAGGGAGAAGAAGAGGGAGAAGAAGAAGAGGGAGAAGAAGAAGAAGAGGGAGAAGAAGAAGAGGGAGAGGAAGAAGAAGAGGGAGAAGAAGAAGAAGAGGGAGAAGAAGAAGAAGAGGGAGAAGAAGAAGAAGAGGGAGAAGAAGAAGAAGAGGGAGGAGAAGAAGAAGGTGAAGAAAGAAGAGAAAGAAGAAGGAGAGGAGAGGAGAGGAGAGGAGAGGAGAGGAGAGGAGAGGAGAGGAGAGGAGAGGAGAGGAGAGGAGAGGAGAGGAGAGGAGAGGAGAGGAGAGGAGAGGAGAGGAGAGGAGAGGAGAGGAGAGGAGAGGAGAGGAGAGGAGAGGAGAGGAGAGGAGAGGAGAGGAGAGGAGAGGAGAGGAGAGGAGAGGAGAGGAGAGGAGAGGAGAGGAGAGGAGAGGAGAGGAGAGGAGAGGAGAGGAGAGGAGAGGAGAGGAGAGGAGAGGAGAGGAGAGGAGAGGAGAGGAGAGGGATCTACAACAATCATCTAGTCCAACTGCCTGACCACTTCAGGGCTGATGAAAAGTTGAAGCATATTCTGTCCTTAGACAGAAGCTGTAGAATTACTCCATTAACAGGTTAATAACCTTACTTTCAGAGGGTCTACGTTAGGTGGGACAAAGCCCATGCCTGTGCAAAGGAAAAGAGCGGATCAGTTGCATTCTGGCTATAAGATCCCTTCCAACCCTACGCGTGGGCACGTTTCCAGCGTCTTGAACCCCCGGGCAAAAGCCCTTGCAGACACGGTGGTGGTAGGATCAAAGCCTGCCAAGTGCCGTGAGCGGCAGGACGCCACCAGGACCAGAGGAAGGAGGGCGGGGTGGTGGGGGGCGCAGGCTACGACCTTCGCTGCGCTAGCGGAGCGTTGCACGCCCAACCCTGACAGGCTGCTTTTGCGCGGGATCACCGGGGCAGGATCGGCATGAAATCAATACAGGACACTGGTCAAACACCCTTTCAAGCACTTCACAGTCATGCACCCCTTGATCTCTACGGAATTATTCTTGTGCAGCGTCAGGGTGGAGATTTAATTTGCGTCGAAAACAAAATTTGCTCGGTGAAGCCTACTTTCATGTAGTTAGGTATAACCACGTAAACACGCCGTTAAAACATCCCTCCATGCAGTGCTATTAAGTTCTGAGATTCTTCTTTAGCTAGTTCTCTAAAGTGTTTGAATATGATTTTGTTTGTTGCTGCTCCTGTTGCTAATTTAAAACTTTTAATATTAATCTTTTTGACTGGTGTGAGGTGTCAGTTCTTTGCAAGTGTTAATTTACTCCCAGTTTGCCGGGAGCAGTAATACGTTACTATCGCTGAGCTCTATTATTTGTTTTCTCTTCTCGTTGTTTTCTTTTTCCCAGTCGGGATCTCAAGTTTCCCCCTGTCCCTCCCCAAATCTTCCGGGCCGAAATGGTCTGCTTCCACTTACAATCCTTTATTGTAGACTACGGTCTTACTGGTAGTGGCCATTGCGATTTCTGGCTCCAGCCGAGACGTCTCAATCTGTGAAATCAAAGAGGAGGCAAGATCAGAATTGGTATCATCATGTTGTGCTGCAGCAGGAGCTCGATAGATCAATAAATTGATATGGAGAAGTAGCATCTGTAAATGATACCATGTCAATCGTGGCTTTTCTGTGTCATTTTAGTGTGCTTTCCTCTGCTCAAGTCTCAAAGCAACCCTGTTTGCCTTGACTTGTATTACATGCAATGATGCAGGCTCGCTGCCTTGCAATATTCGATGAATTATAGCCTCTCTGAGAACCAAACGGATCCCACCCGTCGTTTTCCAGGAGACAGCCCTTCCTTTTCCCGCAGCCAAGGTCCCCTCGCATGGTGCTAGAGGGAATCCAGTCCCCGAAGCTGCGGTTTGCACCCCTAGGGACCCGGCAAAGCCAAGGGCTGCCTGGTGCCGCGAGGGGACAGCACAGCCTCCTGCGGCTCCTGGATCAGGGCTCTAGGTCCTCCGCCCGGGATGGATCACAGCTAAGATCTGCCGACCCCTTTCTCTGTCTCCACGAAATCTCCAGCCCTTTCCCAGTTTCTCCCTTCCGCTGGCTTCGCACGAAGCTTTCCCTTGCTCTGCAATCACTCCGAACCTTTGCATCCCTGGGAGGGATCCGTGGCGCTCCCGGTTCCCACGGCAAGCAAAGATCCCGCTCCCAACCGGGACAGGGCACCTTGCAAGACCAGACTTTTAGAAATCCTATACATTGAACTGATGCTGTTGCTGACACAATGCTAGGAACCCACGTTAAAATCGAAATGCTTTTGAAAATGTTTAACCTAGTTAGACAAATTAGCAAAAATTTGTGCAAAACAATTTAGGTATTTAAAATATTCAATGTTTTTAAAAACTGGAAAAACTGTTCTTAGCTTTCAGCTGCAAAAACCCAACAAAATATAACATCAAAGCAATCTTAACATGAGGTGCAACATAACCCTTCAGCAAAGCTGTTAAACAGCTACTGAAGCATCATGGGAAATAGCACTTCATTTATTCAAATGCACATATGTCAGGTTTTTGCACCATATGTCATTCCAAGCTATTTACAGTAATAATTAAATCTTAATCAACGTTTAACCTCTGTAAAATGTTTGAAGGGATCTAATCACCCTTCAGACTGCACTAATGAAGGAGAAATATATAAACATAAAAAGAAAATGATGCATAGATAGCACACCAGAAAGAACAGTAATTGCAAAATTGTATTTCTTTTAAATATAATCAGCAAATTATGTAAAGTAAGCCAACGAGTATTTTAAGTGAAGACATCTTGGGTGTCAGAGGTGTGATCAGCTAATTTTGTACTGCTATCCATAACAGATGTAGCATATTTTCTTTTAGTGCCATTATTAGCAACTTCACCATTTCTTTCTGTGCTGAAACACAAAGTGAAGCATTGTGCCGGGGAGCGTACCCAGCAAAGGTGCAGGAGAGGCGATTCTCACGTACACCGGCACTGACGGGATCCATTTTGAGGGAGGATTAACTCTGATCTGCCTGGCTCTGACGCAGCTTTTCTTCCTATTGTTTTCTTATTTTTCTTCCAGAGACAGAAAGAAAAGCTCTGAGGAACTGGGGCTGGGCGGTTTCACCCACTGGTATGAAAATATCAAGGTGGGAAGTGCTTTAAAATGACTCGGCGCTGGGTGGTCCGAGAGTGACCGCCCGTGCTGGTGTCAGCAGGGCAGCTCGGTCGGAGCAAAAGCCAAGCGACTCCTGGGAAGCCTCCACAGAAAGCTAACGGAGAGCCACCACGCTCCCTCCCTCGCCGGTGGGGGCTGGAGAGGTGGGAGCTCCAAGGGAAGTCCCACCTGCCTTGGTGGGCCCCAGATTAGCGGTCCAAAAGCCAGACCTGCGGGGGGAACCGTTGAGGACTTGGATGTGCCGAGTCGAGGAGAGAGTAGCTCAAGGGTGGTGTGGTGGTACTTGCGCGTGCAAGAGGCTACAGAGCAGAGGAAAGGAGTAATGTTTTGTTCACGCTCTCTTGGGACACAATTCAAAAAGCATTGAGTGAGATCCAAGCTGAACAGCAGGAAGAGTATCCTAGTGGGAAGGAGCAAAGCACTGCAACCAAATGCTTGGGGAAGGTGTGGTGTCTCTGTGGTGGGAAGTTTTCAGCACAAATTAGATGAAACCCATCAAGAATAGTTTAAGCAGAATTGAGCTTGCCTTGGAAGGAGATAGATGAGCTAACTGTTTGTAGGTTCTTTCAGCTTCCTTCCCATGGGTCCGGGAGGGAAACGGCCTCCCTTCCCTGCACGGCTGAGCTCTTCATTCATGGCAAGGCTGTCCACAAGGCTGCTAGACGGGATGGCGTTAGGAGGGACAGGACTGAGGTGTGACAGTTCAGAGACAGATTATGGTGTCTGAGCAGAAGGACGTGGGCATGAATGCCCAATGCAAGATGGACACACGGTCAGGGACTCCTCTGAAGATCTCGAAAGAAGATAGAGTCAGTCACAGGCATTGGTTTGGAGCTGTGTTATTACTGAACTCACCTAAGCCCCTTTCTGAAGCCTGGGAAGATGTGCAATAAATTTGCCGGGAGGTGACTGGTTGAACTGGAGCAATCTCTGCAGGTTCCCCTTCTGGTTGACTTTCGTAAACCAGATATTAAAAACTGCTCTGGAGCCTGAGGTACAGGAGCTCCGAGGGGTGCGTCTGCACCAAGGAGGCAGGTAGAGGAGGGATGCATTCCACAGCAGCACGCGCAAAGCTGTCCAGAAATGTGTAGGGAGTAACTTACTCCTCTCACTGGGAAATCAGAGGTGGAAGAACAGGGAAAAGCACTCAGGTGGTGGGCCACAGATATCAAGACAACATGTCTTGATATTAAGACACAACGTTATTGTGTACCAGTTCTGAATCCCTCAGAGTTTTTTGTTGGAACGTGTCATTTCACCCATTTGGGTGCAGGCTGCTATTCCAGCTGTCCAGCAGCCTGGACCTGCCTGGCCAACCTTCCACTGGACATGGCATTGTAAAACAGATCTGAAGACCACAGAGTTTCTTGTCGAGTTTCTTGTGTCTCAGCTTCAAAGACCTCCCAGCAGGGTCCTTCTCGGTCACGGCCATGCTGGGAACCCCTCTAATGAGGAACGTCTGCCATGGAGGGTGCTCTGAGGAACACGGTCAACCCGGTCGGGACTACCTGCCCCATCCCATATGGGGTGACTTTGTCCTTCCAAACTGAGCGCCCACCATGCGACTGGGTTTGAAGAGTGTCCATCCTCTTCCTCCCAATGAGGTAGGTCTACCTGAGCTGGGGCAGAGGATGGATCCCCTTCCTGGCTCTGGGATGACGGTGCTGAGGTGCCCACCAGAAAAGTGTCTACTTAAACAATGAACCCAGAAGAAGAGAAGTCCAGGAGGAACGCAAGGTCACAACCAGCACACAGGATAAGCACCACGCCAAGAGAGTCCTACAAGGTTTGGGGTAAAAAAAAAAAAAAAAACAACAAAAACCAACAGGCTTTCAGGCTGATGGCTGCATGAGCATCAATCACCCGGTATCCTGACACACCATCATGGGGAAAACACTATCACGAGGCAGCGGGACAATTTCTCCAACCCCCTGTGGGGCTACTGGAAGCTTTGCTGTAGATGCACGGCGATCCTCGCTGGGGACATGGCCAAGGTGCATCTCCAAACTCACCCAAAATTGTGGTTAGCGCTAGCCACAGCCCGTCGCAACACCTGGGAGCCGGTGTGGCCTGAAGGACACTCCTCTTCCCTCTAGCAGATAGCCGAGCGCATGGAGAAAAAAGGGAAAAAAAAAAAAAAAAAAAAAAGACAAGAAACGGTGTCCCCTGACCTTGTTCAAGCAAGTGTTTATAAACCAGCGTCACCCAGGTAATGCAGGCGGGATGACAGCACTGGCTTTTTAGTGGTGCTCCTGACCCGGTGAAATCTATCCCTCCCGGGGAACAAAGCCGCCGTAAAGGGAATCGCCTCTCGCCGTGCCCACCGCGCGCGCCAGCTCTCTTCCCCCCGTCTCTGCCTTGCAGTGGAAGCCTCTCTCCTCTCATCAGCACAGACAAGGCTAATTGGGGTGATAAAGAACTGGCTCCGAGTGCTGGCGTGGGCTGGAGGAACAAATGGTGCGGTGGTCACAGCTGGTGCTGCGGAGACGGAGAGGGAGAGGGTGTGAGGCAGGCTCCCGGCGCCCAAAGTTTCGTCAGCCCATGTTGGATGCGGGGCGGCGAGGTGGGGGGTTGTGTGTGTTTTGCATTCGCTGCTGACACGGGTGTAGCGTACATGCGCGTCCGGTGAAGCAGAAGCAGGCAGAAAGCAGATGCTTTTTGTTTGGGGTTGATACTCATTTCTATCCCAGCTCGGGAAAAGGTGTAGAAAGGAATGTGCTCCTAAGAGTGCAGGGAGAGAGATAGGTCTAGGCTCGCTGCCAGGGATCCTGTAATGATATGGAAGGCAGCTAGGGGAGACAGGAGCAGATGGATTTGGCATACAGCTCATCACTCAGCCAAAAAAAGGGAGGGGGGGGTGGGGGGTGGGGGGGGGGGGGCGAGAAGAAGGAAGAAAGCAGCCGATTTTGGTAGGGGGAGGGTCATGCGGACTGACGGGTGCTGCACCGGGAGGTGGGGGAAGGGAGGATCGGGCTGGTCACCGCGTCTTCTGCTGCTGCCTTGGCTGGGCCAGCGAGGAGACTCGGTGGTGGCCCCGGTTCGGAGCCCAGGAGGACTCTCCCGGCCTTTCCAGCGGCCCTCTGCCACCTCCTCCCGGGCCATCAGACACCAGGGCAGCGGCCAAGGGCAGCGCCAAGACCCACCCAGCCCTGGAAAGGCTCGGTGAGGTGTAACTGCAGTTAATAAACGGCACCACGAAGCCCCTGTGAAGGACCAGCATCTGCTGCTTCCACGGCGGCGGGGGCACAGCGAGACGGAGAGGTGGGGCACCTCCAGCGCCGTTGACAGACTCTGCTCTGCCCCGGGCATCCTCGGTGAAAAATATCACGGTTTTGCTTGGCTAGGTGAGCTACT